CTTCTTCTCCATCTCTCCCTCCTTTCGAGATTTTAAGTATGTACACACATAGTCCTGGAGTATTTTTCAAGCCACGGGATCTGGGATTTGAACTGTGGTTTCAGCCCTGAGGGATCCTTCTCCCTTAACCAGCAGGTCACAGAGCCAGTCCTCAAGATGTCTTTTCTATGTATTTTCTCCAGGAAAACTATCAGAGTGACTCTGGGAAATATGTCAATCATGTATGCCACTTTACCATCAACTAAACATAACTTGGAATAACTTATTTCCTCTGGAACCTCAGTTGTGCTATAAGGAAGTTGACATGGATGATTTCTTTTTTTTCTTTTTTTTCTTTTTTTTTTTTCTTTTTGGAGAGGTTTTTGCTGTAGAGTGCAAGCTCACCAAAAAGACAGAGAAAGACAGAAAGCAAGAAATCACCCCCCTCGGAGGATGGCCATGCCATGGCTCCTTCTCTTCCATTCTCCTCTTGGGATCGTGGGCACACACGCACACACGCCTTAGCGCACTGGCTCTGGTATTTGACCCCCTGTCGACTACATGGGAGTTAATGATGTAACCATTATACCATCTGCTGGTCCCTGAAATGGATGATTTCTAAGGTACCTCTCATGCCATCAGAGGACTTAAGTGTCCCTCTGGGGATGGGTAGGCATGACATATTTATTTGATGTGATAATGGTAGTAATAACACGATGCTGATAGTTATAATTAATAAATTAGGGTTAGAAAACTCATCTTACAGGACCAGCAGATGGCGTAATGGATACGTCACTGGACTCCCGCATAGTTGACCACATTTCAAACCCTAGACCAGGTGGCTTGAAACTCACATTGGGTGCATGTGTGTGCATGCCCAAGAAGAGAATGGAAGAGAAGAGATTATAGTGTAGCCATCCTCCTTGGGAGGTGATTTCTTGCTTTCTGTCTCTCTGTCTCTGCCTCTCTGGCAAGCACATGTACCCTATAGCAAAAATCTCTCAAAGAAAATTCATCTTACTTGTATCATAAAGAAGCCACTGAAAAAGCCAGCAGCTAACATGGTGGTTAAGGTGCTGTAGTTCCACGTGCTGACTGGGGTTCGAGTCCCAGACCTGGAGGCTTGCTTTCTCACTTTCTCTCTCTGCCTCTCTGTCTTTCTCTGATGAGCACATGTGTCCTATAGCAAATAAATAATAAGTAAAATTGAATAAATGATTCTTTAAAAAAAAAAAAAGCCACTGAAAAAAGATTGGGGGCCGGTTAAGAAGGTATCTTGGAGGTGGCTGACTACATGGTTGAGTCTTGGGCCTGGAGGCTTAGGAACCTACATACATGTGTATATGTACATGTGTGCGTGCATGCCCAGAATCTCCAGAGGGGAGTAGAGGAGAAAGAATTGTGGCAAGGCCATCTTCCCTCAGAGGCGATGTCTCAGTTTCTCTCTCTGGCAAACACACACACCCTATATCAAAAACTTCAAAAAAAATTTTAAAAGATTGGGGTCATCTCCCCTATACCACTTTTTCTTGAAACTTATGATTTTTTCTTTTTTTTTTTTTAAGTTTTTTGCTATAGGGCACACACACTCACCAGCAAGGAGAGGAAGGAGGGGGGGGAGAGAAAGTAAGAAATCACTTCCCTGGGGGGATGGCCATACCGCAGTCTTCGTCGCCCCACCCCCACCCCCCCGACACACGCACACACACTCCAAACATGATTTTCAAGCTGCCAGGTCTGGAACTCAAACCGGGGACTTGGCCATATGTAATCCAGCTGCCTTAACCTCCACACCACCTTCTAGCCTTCCTTTTTTTTTTTTTTTTTTTTTTTTTTTTTAAATTTCCAAAGGGCACATGTACTCACCCGAGAGAGGCAGAGAAAGCACCCACCTATAAGATGTGGTCACTCCGCAATCTCCTTTTCTCTATTTCTCTGTTCTGGTGGGATTGGGGGCATGTATACACATGTACCTGGTGTGTCTTTCAAACCATCAGGACCAGAATTCAAACCATGGTTGGCTGCATTAGATGTGGCTCCCTTAACCACCAGCTACACAGCCAGCCCCAAACTCTTCATCTTTCTTAAGTACTTATTTCTGCCATTTTGCAGTTTGTCTGTCCTTTAATCATGAGTACTTACTTTTTACAGAGTCCTTTCTTTAGCTCATTCATTCTTTAAAGCAAAACCCCCCCCCCCTTTTTTTTTTCCACAGAAATACTGAGACTCGCATAGATTCAGGAACTTGTCCAAGGTCACTTAGCAAAGAGTATGGATCCACTACTCTTCTGCTTCTCAGTTTTAGCAATCGTTTTCCTTTACTTCATTTCTTTTTCTTTGTTTTTCTTTTTCATCTTTTTTTCCTAAGCCTACCACTGGCTCCAAAATGAAAAGAGTTTATAAACTCCTGATTTAGGCAGCTCATAGATACTATCTTTTTTATTTGTTTAAGAATTATTTATTTAATTTTATCATTATTACTACTATTTTTTAATTTGACCAGAGAGAAACACACAGAGATCTGGGGGGAGGGAGAGTGAGAGTGAGAAAGCAAGCCGCCAGGTTTGGGACTTGAACCATGGTCAGCCATGTGGATGTTCAGTACCTTACCATAACCACCTGCCACCTTTAGAATTATTTACTTATTTAATTCCATTTGTTGTTATTTTTTAATTTGACGAGAGAGAGAGAAATAAAGTGAAAGGGAGAAAGCAAGCCACCAGGTCTGGGACTCAAACCGCAGTTGGTCATGTGGGAATCTAGCACCTTTAACCACCACACCACCTACCGGCCCCCATAGATGATATCTTGACATTCGAGTAGAGACCTTCAAACTGTGTTCACCAAATCCTGGGATTTGCTTAGTGATTACTTTGTAGGATAGAAAATTCCCCGTTGCGGAGCATTTGCAAAGAGGCTAAATGACCATGTCTTGGGAGTTTTACAGAGAATGTTTATTTGTTACCTGGGTGATGGACATGGTACCCTCAGGACTCCTCCTAGACAGAGTTCTATGATGTGTGTGGGAATTTCACTACTTTTTAAATGCATCATGAGAACTTAACCTTTATCACATCTCTTCTTCCCTATGCCTTGCTTAAAACACCTGGTTAGGTAAGCTCCTTAAATTAAAGAGACTTGTGTATATAGTAAGAATTTCCAAATGTCAGAATTGGAAAGATGCTTATGAGAGCATTTAGTTTAAACTCTTCACTTGGCATCTGAGGCCTGGACAGTGACAATAGATAGGGCTGCCTGCTGTTGCCGACAGAGCCTACAGTCTCCAAGGAATCTGTTCTAAAATTCTTTTGTCTATCAATCCAAGAGAATGTGTTACATAACTTCTACTCATTACATCTGTGTGACTTTCTGTTTCATTGCTGACCTAAAGTTTAACCAGTAAACTTGGAACAGTGTCTAGCACAGAATGGGCATTCAGTACACATTTACTGAAAGAAATTCCTGACTCCGGAGTCACTGAGGTTCATAAATAGTCTTGTGGTGAAATCACTGTTTACTATCTTAGCTGTGGAATTAATAGCCCACTAAGTAAATGTACACTCTCCATTCTCAGTCTTCTGATGAGGCTGCCATTCTCTGCTGGGCCAAGGGTTCGTTCTCCCAGCACACATGCTCCACTCTGGCCCTCTACTCATATTTCAGAAGCTCCATTGGCATCATCATATCAGCATGAAAAATCCAGAGTTATCATTGACAATATTCCAGGCCAATGGGGCCAGCCAGATATTTAGGCTTGAATGCTTATCTGGGGAAATAAATGCATGTTAGACTTTTTGCAGCACTATAACTTGCTCCTTCCATCTCCCCTCATATTGGGAAGCACCACCACTCCTCCTGTTTCTCCCCAGCCTGACTGCTCTTATCTCCTGGGGAAATTGCTGAAAGACCCCAAGAAATAGCACCACCTTCCCAGTCAGCTTTCCTTTGCACTTAAACTTGGTCTGTCTGTAGAGTTGTCACGGCAGGTGTTTGCCACAGCTCTGGGTGCAATTCACACTGTCCACAGCTGCTGGTTATGAAGAATGGGTACCATCTCAGTGGGGTTTTACAATCCAGTGAGTGTTATTTTGGTGACACAGTGAATTGGAAAGCTCCTTTGCAGGGCCACTGAGAAGGAGGGGTTGAATCCCACCACCAGGACATGAAGTGGGTGTGAGGGGGGTAGTCTGTCCTGTGGTAACAGCTGGCCTCTCCCACCACTGTGCCAGGTAGCAAGTGGAGATGTGGGAACTGCATGGGGCACAACCCAGCCACCTAAGTTTGCTCAGTGCAACCCTAAGCTTTTTTGATGACCACTCACACATCTGTCTGTATTCAAGTGCCTCTTAGGTTCCTACCCTAGATTGGGATAATCCAGGTGTAAATTCATTATCATTCTGGGCCTATCAGGTATTGAGTAAGAGAAGGGAAGACAGCAAGTCTGCAGAGGAATTGTTCTTAATCTACTTCCCCTCCTTGGTTTTCTGGGCTCTAGCTGAAGTCATTGCTCTGTTGCAGGGATGTGGCCCCTTCTGCAGCCTTCTTCAGCTATACCTGCCAGCTGTCTAGGAGTTGAAAACCAGCTTCAGGGCTCATCAGGGCCTGACTAGATGTTTATCCAGCTCAGCACAGGGACTTAACAAGACTTCTAGGCTTTGCACAAAGGGCTGCTTTGCTCCACGTTTGTAGAATTGAGACCTGAAATTTCCCAGACCCTGCTTACCCCCAAGACCCAACCTTCCCCAGCCCTCTGTTCATTGTCTGCTGTCCTCCAAGCTGAAGATTTCCCTCTGCTTGTTATACAAATTAGCAAGCACTCCTGGGCCACTCTAGGTAGCCACCTGCCATGCACAGATCCTTCTACCCCACCCCATTCTTTCTGAACAAGAACACCATCCAACTAACGCAGGAAGAAGATCCTTGGGGGAATGTGATTGAGTGATGTGCTGGTCCAAGAGCCCCACGGGGCCTCAGCACTGCATAGAACTACAGGTTTACCCTTTTTGTTGCTTTTACTCTAGGAAGATGATGAGAAGCTAATTGAGGAAATCCAGAAGGAAGCTGAAGAGGAACAGAAAAGAAAGAATGGAGGCAAGTGCTTTCTCCAGCACAGCTCCCGCAAAACGACCCCATGCCCAGTGCCCTTCAGTGCAGCAGGAAGCAGAGGACCAAGGGACTGTGTGGCAGCTCCCACTGCTGGCCTTCCTTGGGGATTCTCACACACAACCCAGCCAGGCCAGATGGTGCTGTGGCAATAGACATGACTCCACTTTGCAGTCACTGCTCAGGCCTGTAGGATGACCACCAAAGCCTTGGAGAGTTTTAGCATCTCCTTGACAGGGAGTCTAAGGAATGGGTAAATAAAGGCCCACACTGACCCTTCTGAGTTTAAACAGAGAGGTTCTGTGAGTGCCATCCCTCCAAAGGCTGTAGCTCTAAAGGAAGTCACATAGGTCCACTCATGCTGAGCTGGTTCACATGCCACCTGTCAAGTGCCCTTGTCCTTGGTTCCTCCTCATAACAGTTGGGTCTGTGTCGGGGTGTTTTACTCACAAGCCACCCTCTTGCATCCAGAGGTACAGATAGGCCAAAGGTCAAAGGCAGCCTCTCACATCCACACTCTAGACTCTTCCTAAACTCCCCAGCCCTGGTGGGGACCAAGATAAGTATGTGCAGCCCTGGGCCTAGGCTGGATCCCAGTGGAGTTGGTATAAACTGTTTTTTTTCAACTAAGTCCTATCTTTCTTTCAGAAAATACCTTCAAGCGCATTGGGCCACCACTGGAGAAGCCCCCTGAGAAGGTGCAGAGGACGGAAGCTCTCCCACGACCTGTCCCACAGAACCTGCACCAGCCTCAGATGCCACCCTATGCCTTTGTGCACCCTCCCTTCCCCCTGCCACCCGTCCGGCCCATGTTTAACAACTTCCCCCTCAACATGGGCCCCATTCCAGCCCCCTATGTGCCCCCTCTGCCCAATGTGCGGGTCAACTATGACTTTGGCCCCGTCCATGTGCCCCTAGAGCACAACCTGCCTATGCACTTTGGTCCCCAGCCACGGCATCGCTTCTGAAGGCCCAGGGCCCTGTCCCAAGCCCAACCCCTTCAGGCATTCAGGGAGCCTATGTGGGGCAGGGACTTCGGGATAGAGAACCCTTCCCTCCCCCAAAGCTGATGATTCTAAGTAGGGGTTATGGGTTTGGCTTTCAGAAGAATGAGCTGATTTTCTTCCCACTCCTTTCTTGGGAAGGGTCATTGTTCCTTGAAGAGTGCCCACAGGTTGGTGCCCTCTAGGTATCCCTAACAGGACTAGCTTGGCTCTCACTGGGCCAGAGATAAAGGGACGGCAAAATCCTCTTTCTGAAGAGCTTGCCATCTTAGCAGCCATTGCTGTGTCCCTGGCCATGAGATAGCCCTGTTCCTGCTGTATCACTCAAGTCCCTATGGAAAGAGACCACCAGGAAATAATTTGCCTCTTTTCCCCTCCCCTTTAGCAGACAACTGCTCAGAATTAAAAACCACATAGGCCTTCCTCACCACAGCACAGTGGGATCCCTAATAAAGAGAAGTAGCAAATAGAGGAATTTGGAGAGAGTTAGACTGCTACCCTACTGAGGCTCACCGAGAGTGGCCTTTCTGCTCCAGGCCACAGCACAGCCCACAGTTCAGGGACCCAGGGCCCCTGCTGTCCCCAACGCTTGCACTTCTCAGAGCCAAGTCCTGGGGAGCATCACTCAGGATGGGGAGCAGTGGCCACAGCCCTTGGGCATTGCTGCAGCACCAAAAGGGGCCAGATGCCGGTCCTAGAACTCAGGTACCACTGTGGAGACCACTCAGGCCCACTCAGATCAGAGTGCAGCAGAGGACCATCTCATGGTGTGGGTGTTTTGTCATTTACTTATACAAAACTTTCTCTTGTTTGCTCATTTGAATTGACCCCATTTTCTATGGCCTGCTAGAGTTTCTCTCCCTCAACCTGCAAATTCAGACAGAAGTAGATTACCCCATACCAGGCAGCTGCTAGGATCTGGGTGGGCCTGTACGTGGCCAAACAAGGTCCTAGAGAGCTAGCTGTGATTGAGACCTGGTTGCCCAGCTGGGCAGCCCTGTTGTTGAGAGACTTCTCTCCCACCAACCATGATGAACGGCTTTTCCCCTAAGATGTTTTGGGGTGAGGAGTGGACTTCCCTGAGGGTGCATGTGGTCCTGAGCACTGCTGGGCTGCCACCTGAGGGACAGGTTCACCCACCTGTCCAGAGGTTCTCTGAGCAGTTATGGTGAAGGCAGGTACAGGTGACATCCTGTAGGCTGAGGACGCCTCTTGTCTGAAGTCAGGTGAAAGTCAGCTCTGAGCCTGCTGATCCCATCACCTTCAGTCCTGTCTGGACCGTGTGCTGTGCAGTGGCCCAAAGCTTCCAGCTGCTCTGCCACACTCGTCATTCTGTTGTGTTGGCCTTCCTTGTCCTTGTTGCCATGGAGTTCAGAGATACCGGTGACCAGGGGCCTGTGAGCTGTGCTGCATGTGGAACCCCAACACGAGTTCTGTCCTCCTGCAGAAGGGGCCCATGCTGTCTGATGTGCCAGAGCAGATGGGCCCTGTCAGTGCCATCAGTTTCTCAGATGTATTTCAAGGGTTAAAGTGGAAAACAGTTCTAAGATGCCCGTTCTTTCTGCCTTTCCTCAGGATGAAGGCTTTAAAGACAGGTGGTGATCTGGCCATGGAGTGGGGACATTGTGAGGGGCCCAGGAGCAGCTATGCTGTGTCCACTGCCCAGGGAGTCCCTCCATGTTGGGCTGCCAGAACTTTGCTTCTAGCCTGAATGATAGTGCCTTGGAAAGGCGGGCTCCACGTGGCACTGACAGGACACTAGAACCTTAATGCCTCCTCCCAGGCTTCCCCAAGGAGGGTCTCAGAACAGAGGGCAGTAGCAGACCTCCTAGCAGAAGGGGCCGCAACCCCAGGCACTGTCTCCTCCCCCAAAACCTTGGGAACCTAGTTCTAGTTTTGCCCCCTGCCCATCATATGGCTTCATCCAGTGGCTGAGGCAGGAGAATAGGAATTGGCTGCTGCTAGGGCTGAAAGGACAGATTGGGCAGGAGGCAGGTTCAAACCTCAGTATGAGAAGACCAGAGTAATGTCCTGGGACCAAACTTGAAGATTGCCCTTTGCAGTGATTTCTGGCTGTTCTAGCACACATAGCTGTTGGGGAGGGTACTACTGCCTTTGATTATCAAAGGCACCTGATTCCTAACACCCTTCCTGAGCTGGGCTGCAGGCTACAGCCACGTGAGTAACCATCTCAGCCCTGCAGGCCTCAGCCTCAGGCCTCTGCTTCCTGTACTGGTGACAGGATTAGAGAGCCAGAATGGACTAGAGGTCTTCTGAGCATCCCTCAAGTAGCTGCACAGGTCACAGTGCAGTGAGCCCAGCACAAGCAGGTGTCCCCAGGCTTGGTCCCCAGGGTGAGAGACTGCCTAGCCACAGTCCCATTTTACTTGCCTTAAACTGGAGAGAGGAATCTGGTATTTGCACTTAGCAAAAGATTTAAAAATTGAAAAATTCGCATGACCTGTCACTTTGTATAAAATTAGCAAAAAATTATTATGTAGTTTATTAAATTTTTTTCTTTATCTTCTGGTAGTAAAGATACATAAATCTGTTTCAACTACTGTGTGTAAAATGCCTGTATCATATGTAACTTGGACTTTTTGTAAATAAATGTTTGTGCACTCTGCACTCCCGACAGGTTTCATTTCTCCCATGGCACTATCTGGCAAATTAGGGAGACTGCTACAGCCACTCACTGACAGATCCCTTAGGAGTGATTAGATCTGAACTAGTCCTGAATTATGTCCCTGGAGAGGAAATGCGGGACAACTGAACAAGAGCAGGCTGGGAGGTGGCAGTTCCTGAACAGAGGAGAAGTAAGGTTTCCTACCTCTTTTTTTTTTTTTTAACAATTATTTTATTTTAATTTTATTTATTCATTCATCCATTTTAATTTGACCAGAGAGAGAGAGGGAGAAGGAGGGAAAGTGAGAAAGCAAGCCACCAGGTGTGGGACTCAAACTGTGGTCAGCCATGTAGGAGTGTCTAGCACCTTAGCAACCATGCCACCTCCTGGTCCCAAGGTTTCCTATCTCTTAACCCAAAAGAAAGAAAGATCAGGAGATGTACGAATTCTGCTTGAATGACTACTGAAGCCCAGATTGGGCACAGAAGATTTAGTTTTTAGTTTTCTGGCAGAGAATCTCATTAAAGGGTGATCAGTATCTCTTCCAAGTCCCTCCAGACTGCAGCTGCCAGGAATTGGCCCCAAGACTGAGAGGGAGCTATGGACATAGGAGAAGCCATGATCTACAAATGCAGGTTGACCACAACATGCTTTTAATAAAGTCTGAAGCTATTCTCCCTGGCATTTGCACCTTTTTTTCCGTCATAGGGTGCATGTGCTTGTCAGGGAGGGAGAAGAGGGAATGCGAAAAATTGCCCCCAGTAGAGATGGCAACACTGCAATCCCTTCTCCCACTTTCTCTAAGGATTTTGGCACACACGTACATGCACCCAGCATGATCTTCAAGTCACCAGGTCTAGGATTCGAACCATGGTCGACCATGTGGGAAGCTGCATCTTAACCACCATACCACCTGCTGACCCTGCCACTTGCACCGTTTTAGTATTTTTTTTCGGGGGGGGGGATTTTCACTATAGGGCACATGTGCTCGCCAGACAGAGACATAGAGACAGAAAGTGAGAAATCACCCCCCAGGGGGGATGGCCCTTCTCCTCCATTCTCCTCTCGGGATCTTGTGCACGCACGCACATGCGCCCGGCGTGAGTTTTAAGCCACCGGGTCCGGGACACGAACCGCAATCGACTACGTGGGAGTCCAGCGACATAGCCATTACGCTAACTGCTGGTTCCCTGCACCTTTTTATTGAACGATATATTGGGGGGGGGGTATATATATGTATATATATATTTAACGTGTCTTGAGAGAAGATATATGGAAATAAAAGTTTTAAGACAAAAGTTATCTACACTCCCAGCTTCTAAACCAGGGGGTTGCTTTTTGCTGTGTTTTATTTGCTATAGGGTATGTGCACTTGCTAGACAGAGAGAAGGGGAAAGTGAGAAATCCTCTGTGGAGCTGGCCATGCCATAGTCCTCTCTCCTCTGGTCTCAGGATTTGGGGCATGCATGCACACATGCCCAATATGATTCTCAAGACACCAAGTCCAAGACTCAACCATGTAGACAATCATATGGGATCCAGTGCTCTAACCTCCATGCCACCTGCTGGCCCCAAATCAGTGCCTTGTTTGCCTACCCATGCTGTGCAGCCCGTGTTCCTGTGCATGTTGCATAGTTTACATATTTCACACTTCTGAGGTCTCAGTAGATAAGAAGGCTATTGCCCATTGCACTGTAATATTTTTTTCCATGTCCATCCCAGGTAACCAGTGTGATATTCCTCTTAACTCTCCCAAGTGTCTGCCAGTCATTTCAACATACACATCCACATAGGGGTTTTGTTTTAACCTAAGTTAACATTTTGCTCACAACTTTTTTTTTTCCTGAAGAATCATGAACTAGCCTCCAGATCTATAGATCTATGTGCATCTAACTTGTTCTTTTTATCTCTGACATATTTCTTTGTACAGTTTTGCCCACATCTATTAGGAAAATCTGGATACTTCCAGTGGTTTTGCCACCACATACAATACTCCTTCCATAACTGGTGCTTTGATGTTTTAGAAGTTAGATTTTTGGAAGTGTAGTTGCTGAATCAAAGAATTGGCAGGGAGGGGAACATCCATGTGTCCAGATGGCTTTTGCTGGATTCCTTGCTTTCAAAACCTTGTCAGTCCCGTCACAGGTAAGCCAGCCCTGGGCTCTCACCGGGTCTTGATCTTGCCCACGGAGGGACATCTCTGTGGCCACAGTCTTGGTCTGTCCTGAGACATCCTCTGGAATTTGACCGCATGGAGGCATCACTTGTATCTACTTGTTTTTTGTTTTTGTTTTTGTTTTTTAAAGTTTCCAGAGGGTGCCTACACTCACCAGAGGGAGGGAGAAAGCGCTCTCCAACAAGGCGTGATCATGCTTCAGTCTAGTCATTATTCCTCCATCCTGTGGGGATCTGGGCAAGCTTGCACATAGGAAAAACACCCCAGCATGTTTTTCAAGCTGCTGGAGCTGGAACTCAAACCACGGTCAACCTTGTGGGATCTGGCCTCCTTAGCTAGGCTATGGGACTAGTCCTCTGTTTTGTTTTTGTTTTTTTAAGTGTCTTTGTACTTTAGCTACAGCTTCTTTTCAGTCAGGAGCATTTGTAACTGTAATGTCCAAACTTTTACTTTTCCATTCTTAAAGTTTTGCTTTTTGTTTTTTTGTTTTGTTTGTTTGTTTGTTTGTTTTTAAGATTTTGCCATAGGGGGATCAGCAGATGGAAGAATGGATACATCAATGGATGGACTCCTACATAGTTAACCACGATTCAAGTCGACTGCCATGCATGCCCAAAATCCTGAGAGGAGGGGGACCAGCAGTTGGCGTAATGGCTGTGTCACTGGACTCCCATGTAGTCGATGGCAGTTCGAGTCCTGGACTCGGTAGTTTAAACTCATGTCAGGCGCGCGTGTGTGTGTGCCCAAGATCCTGAGAGGAGAATGTAGGAGAAGGGATTGCAGCGTGACCATCCCCCTTGGGGAGTGATTTCTCGCTTTCTATCTCTGTCTGTCTCTGTCTGTCTGGCAAGCGCACATGCCCTATA